TAAAACACAAAAACACCCAGAGAACTGTGAATAAAACCACCTTCAGAATAAAGAATCACCTAAATGTCACTGTGATAATCAAAAGAGTCTGAAGGAAAATTGATTAAATTAAACAGTCTGCTGTTGAATGTATGTGCCCCCCTCCCTCCTCTCACAGCTTGATGCACAGCAGAGATTCTGTTCAGGCAAATCTCAAAAGAAAATAAATAAAAAAATCATGATTTTCCCACCGAGGGCCAAGTTTCACTGCTGATCTGCATCTTTCTGGAAACATCAGCAGCTGCTTTTGTTCCTGCTTTAATTAAAACAGCCTGAATACATTCTCCCTGTGCAACCTGTGGTACCACACAAAGACTGACATTATTAACAAGCCTATTTTATATAAAAAAATTTGAGGTTTTCTATGATCAGACTTATATTTTCTGGTCATACCTGCTGCGTGAACCTAAAAGATATCTGTAGGATCTTATATTAATGATGTTATGAGTGTCAATAACCACTAAAGATTTGGAATAAAGCATAAAATCCTAACCCAAAACAGTGCTTTGACCTTTAGTAGCGMTGCAAATATATTAAAAAATATATATAAACAGTGAGAAAATAAAAAAAAGATCAACAGGATTTTGGTGAAATATGAGAAAACKCAGCTCAGGCAGATTTCACATTCAAAGTTTAAACAGGTCACRGAAAGTCCCAACTGATCTGGTGTTATGATAAACCTCTRTGCATTCTGTAAGTTTGATGGGTTTTGCTGATTTTTACACTGAATATTGAACGAACAGATGATCTCACTAAAGTCAGCTTTCTAAAACTTTCAAATCCTTTTCAAACTACCACATATGTGAGCCATCACGTCAAACTGAGGATTAAGTCAAGTGACCTTGGCTCATTTTCAGATTCCAGCTTGATTTGTCTTGTTAATCGTGGTAATATTTATATTTGGTCTGAATTCTATTTGTAGGCTATTCTAATGAAAACAAGAAAAGAAAACTCAAATAGTATTTGGATTTTAAGATTAACGAGCTGGGAAGGACAAAAAGTGTTTTGCTAGCTCGTAGCAAAAATGACAAAAATTTAAGGTGTTTTTTAGTGCTGGGCGGTATACCGTTTTGTACCAATACCGGTTTTTATTTTTGTTATGATATGAATTTTTTGAATACCGGACAA